TTTTACGAGAAACTCATCACGACACACCTCTCACAACAAATTGAAAAGCAGCAACTACTCAATCAAGGCCACTATGGCGGACGACCCAACAGGTCGAGTCAAGAGGCACTAGTCCACCTGGTAGCTTTTGTCAGGGCTGAGTGGACCAAAGGCAATATAGTAGGAGCCATGTTTGCTGACGTTAAATCAGCTTTTCCGTCAGTTCACCACCCCCGCCTCATAGATACTCTCGAGAAGAAGGGAATACACTCAGAGACAATAAACATCATCAATGAGTTCTTATCAAATCGATCAACACGCCTGACGTTCAACGGTTTCGAATCAACCCCATTCGGGCTAACTCACGGGTTACCTCAGGGGTCCCCCTTATCACCTTTACTTTATCTCATCTATAACTCCTCTTTACTTGATATTGCTAACCCAATACCTTGGGCAGAGGCTCTCGGATTCGTAGACGATGTGATACTACTTGCATCGGCTCCGGACCAACACCAACTCCAATCAAAAATGAAAACACTCACATTCAGACAAACCAAGTGGGCAGAAAAACACAGAGCTATCTTCGACACGAAAAAGAGCCATTGGATGATTTTCAGCACAGGAAAAATCAACAAACCTCCTACAATCGACTTTGGGACCCAAAAGGGCCTTATTCCTCAAGAAAGCGCAAAATGGCTTGGAGTCACTCTCGACAGCCAGCTGAAATTTGCTCAACATTGACGCGACGTTATTGCCAAAGGTAAGCAAAGATCTGGCTTTATTGCATCCCTAACCAAACTCGAGTGGGGGATCCCCCCCCATCTCATGAGGATACTCCTTTCGGCAACAGTACACGCTGCTACAGACTATGGTGTAGCGGCGTGGTCACCATTCGACCCACAGGATTACTTCCTGTCTCACTTGGCCACCATCGACAACACCTGTGCCAGAGCGGCATTAGGCGCTCTACAATCAACTCCGAAAGTTTTTCTACAGCACGACATGAACCTGTCTAGACCAGCCACACGCTTAAAAGCAAAGGTAATGAATTTCATTGCCATGTCTCTTACAAAACCTAGCCATCACCCTCTGTTCTCGTTCATCCAACAAGCACAGGCATCGAAACCACGCTCCCATCGCAACATATTTCATCAATTCTTCCAGCACGAGTTGGGTAAAGAATTTGACGAATTTACCACACAGCTCCCGGTGGATCCCTCAACAATCCTTACGAAACCAACCAACTTCTCGACAATGATACAGGAGAAAGAAGAATTGGCCATCATAGGCACGAACTTGCTCCGCCACTCAGACCAACACCTCATCATCTACACCGATGGATCTAGAATCCCAACAAAAAACACGGCAGCTGCCGTGTGGTGTCAGAACAACAACAAATCTCGAGCACAATACCTAGGCAAAGCCCGATTGCACGGTATCTTCCAGGCCGAATACAAAGGGGTCCAACTTGGACTCGCCCTCGCATTACAATTCGCAACAACTCTCACAAGAAGAATCTCAATCATCCTTGACAACCAATCGGTTATCAAAGACTTGAACAACTGCCCCCTCAACATCGCCACACTGATAGATAGAAAAGAAACATTCAAAGTCCTCACGTACATCAAAGCAGCGTTCGATGATGTGCAAATCACAATCAGATGGTGCCCTGGACACAGCGGTGTCAAAGGTAACGAAATAGTTGATAAGATAGCTAACGGTATGGCGAAGCGCGAGCTGCCAAGTACCTTTACTTCCACTCCAACCCTAGCAGGATTCACCACAGCAATCAAAGCCTGGTCCAAGCTCGACGAAAACAACTTCAGCCAAAGCAACATCAAAAGACTAGGATAGCAACCTACACCTATGAAACACATCAAGGCGTTGAAAGGCCTTCTCAAGCACGAATGCGCAACGATAACCCAACTTAGGTCAAATCATGTTTACCTCAACTCGTACTTATTCAAACACAATCAGAAATTTGACCCTGTGTGCGATTGCCACGAGGGAATCGAAACTACTGAGCATTTTCTATTCATTTGCCCCAGATTTCAGAAACAACGACAAAAGCTCATCAATGACATCAACGAACTACAACTACCAGAATCCACTGACATACTCAAGAATCCAAAGGCTTTCAAGCAACCCTGTGCCAGCAACGCAACGCACCGCAACACGAGTGTTTTTTGGTGCGTTGCTCCGCAACACGCAGCACAAACCTGCATTACATGCTGCGCTGCGGTAAGTACCGCAACAACAAATGGTGAGGTCAGGTTGCGCGGCGCCTTGACCGTCGCGCAACGCAACAGGCGCAACAGCGCCAAAAAAACGCCAAACTGTGATTTTTTTTGGGCAGCAACGCAACAAATGTTGTTGCGGCCCAAAAAATCCATCGATTTGACAAATGATGTTGCGCTGCGGGTCAGGCCGCAACCTAGAATTTGATTCTATGTTGCGCTGCGGTCAGAAAAACCGCAACGCAGGCGCAGCGCAACACGCAACACCTGCGTTGCTGGCCCAGGGTTGTTTCAAGAGTATCACTGATTTCAGCAACTCGACCTGGAGGCTTAAACACCGGTGGGTGTGGGCCAAGATAACGGACGAAGAAGCACCTCAAAACACCACAATCCCCTCTACCCAATCATTTAACATGTAACCCCATCCTTTAGCGCCACGATTTGTAACAAATAACACTTGTAATACTTTAAACAGCCAGCACGTGACCTTTTCCCCACAGGGGTTTTTACCGGAAGCGGAGCACAAGTAGTTAAAAGTGCCTGATAGCCTACGGCTCAGGAGGCACTTAAAGCAATGCATAAAAAAAAAAAAAGTTTCTATAGGATTCCTTCCCTCATAGAAAATTTCATAAAAACCCACCCACCTCCCGGGTTGAGAAGTCGAACCTTCTCAGGTCTGTTCTCGTCCCACAGGTGGTAGCTCTCAGTTTGGGCTCAACCTCCCCAAACCCGAGTGCTACTACTTATGGGACCATCCCCACACCACGTATAGGGTATTGAGTCTCAGTAGAGGCTAGGTATTCTAGGTGGAAGGACATATCTGAAGGGCTCTGTATTTCGTTATCGGGAGATATTACATGAGGATGATTATCTACGTTCCCCCAGTAGAACAAATCATTAACCCACCTTACTTGCCCGTACTTCCAAGAGGAATGGACAAGAGATTTCAAAAATATGTGAAACTACCTGAGACGGAAATGGGAACTTTATAGAAGCTCGTAATTAGAGCACGCTCAGGTAACAGTAGTGAGAGTGAAAAGTAAACACTCGAACCTTTATAGAAGCTCGTAATTAGAGCACGCTCAGGTAACAGTAGTGAGAGTGAAAAGTAAACACTCGAACCTGTTCGAAAGGACAAGGTAACTGGACGTGAGGAAATGGACTTTTGGATGATGACAGTAAAAAGTTCAGATAATAGTATTTCTTTCTGCACACCTTTATAGAAGCTCGTAATTAGAGCACGCTCAGGTAACAGTAGTGAGAGTGAAAAGTAAACACTCGAACCTGAGGAAAGTAAAGGAATCAATAACAAAGAAAGAAATAATAAAGTAATATGCTAATAGCTAACCTGTTCGAACGAACAAGGTAACTGGACGTGAGGAAATGGACTTTTGGATGATGACAGTAAAAAGTTCAGATAAGGAAAAAGGAAAAACAACAGTGCGAATTCAGAGAGCAACTACTAATAGGTGAAAAACTCAATCCTCTCTTTCCCAATCCGTCATATTCATTCTACCTCATCCATGTTTCATCTCACCACGTGTACTCATCCCAATCCGTCAATAACGTGTTCAAGTTGTGGTTATCTAATAGTTAGGTTACCTACCGGTGATGGTGAAGTAGGTACGTTAAGTTCAAGAAAATACGCAATCGCAATCACAATCTCACGATCAAGCCTCGTGGTTTTGGGTTGTATCACATCGACTATAAAATCAATCCATCGAGTCTCAAAGGCGCTTTGAAAAGGCTTTTAAAGCTCTCTCGTATGAACAATGTTTACTTTACCCCCGGGGGGGGTACATTCGCTCTTAGGCCGCTTCTTTGATTTAGGATCTTTCTTGAATCCAAATTCGACGCTTTTTTCCACTGAGATATATTTTCACATTGTGTACGAAAAGGAAACCCTCACATAAGTTGATCGGAAATCAGCTTAATGAAAAGGTGGGCTTTCAGCCTACAATCATCTTAAGACGGATACTCTTGAAAGATCCGAACAGATTTGGACTTGCGTCTGTAAAGACAGTGTATTCCATCGACGTACTCCTCATGGATATTACATGCCAAGATAGTTTGTTACCTTTCTCGGAAATGGTTGATGGGATCAGTAATCCAACGATCCCTTTGCTACTGGAAGTTGGAATTGCTTGACCTGTTATCCTGAATAATTTTTTATCTGACTGCTCTTGGGTTTAAATAACTGGATCGATTCGACAAATTTGGCGCAGTTCTTTTCCTGAGCGAATCTGATTTGCTCAGAAATAATCGCTCCCAAGCGAATTCAAGATGGGAGAACGCGTCTGTTCAGCTTCTGAACAATTCTCCAAATAAGCGCACTCTGAGTCTGAGCCAACGATATGTTGAGTATCAACGTCTTTCAAGTCATCCCTCGTAATTTTTAATATTGGAGATGGTGTCCCAGTTTGCATCCTTTCAGGGCGAAGGCCATCGACCTCAAAGAAATCCATCCATTGCTCTACGATCAGGAACATGGATCATGTGGTAAATTATGATTCTAATGCCAACCAACATCATTTTTTATTTTCGATAACTTTCGACTATACAGAACTTCCCTGGCACTTTCTTCTTTCTCGCTCAGCACTTCACTTCCCTTAGATACCATCCTCCTCTCACTTTACCAAAAAACTCATCACATCTTGCAAATCTTGTCATCCGTCAATCTCAGTTCTTTGAATATTTCTTGATTGATATATCACCATCTTTGAGCTTTTCTTGATATACTTCCTTGCACCCTCTTCCTACTCTTTTCAAAACGAAATCATCATCATGAACTGCTTTGATGCTTTCTTCGACTCAATGAACGCGCCAAAGACTCCGAGGAAGCGCACCATATCCCATGTGGAGGTGAGTAGTCTTCTTTCATTTCTATTCCCTAAATTTCAACGACACCATCTCATTTCTTTTTTCCCTCAAATCAAGAACTCGGTCGCGACTTTGGATTCAACGGCTCACCACAAGCGATCTCGATCTGGTCCATATCAACCTCCGGCTTTACCATACATCTTTACCGAAAGAGAGATGAACTTGATGGACTCGCCGAAAGAGTTGGATGACGACAGAGAGAGGGAAAGAGACCAGGTACGACGTCGAACCATGGCACTTAGCCAATCTTTTCATTTTTTGCACATCAATTGTTCGCAATCATAATCTAATCCTTATCGCTCACATTCTTGCACATCTTTCAACTGATAGGAGCATACCTCGCGATTCGATGATGGAACAGCTCTGAAGAAGGCTTTGGACTTATTAATGTCCCCTCCTACTTCAACTCCCGCTGCACTGAGTGATTGCAGAACCAGTCCGTCGTCCTTCTCATCATCGGCGACATCATCACCACTCATATCGCGGAGGGCGATACGTCATTACAGGAGGCCAGCGGGGCCCGTAACGGATCCGACGAGAACAGTTCCCATGTTGCAACTGATTGAGCCAGAGGAGACCCCACAATGGTTGCAACTGTCCAAGATCTTTGAGGAAAACGAATCAGCCATGATCAACTACGATCTCCTGCTTGTACCTGGGACGCCATTGCCGGAAGCTCAACCGGAATTTGACATTCAACCCTCACTCGTCGCTGCTCATCCACCGGAGGATGAGGACGCGAAATATCTTGCTGACTTAGAGGCTCTGATTGAGGCTTATTTTTGATCTCTTTGATCACTCTATCTCATTGTTTCATCGTTTCATTTTCTCATTTTCTTTTATCAGTTCAAGCGTATGTTCATTTGCATTTCAAGTACAACCAGGAAGTTCAAGTTTTATAAGTTTTTGTACAACACTCAAAATAAAATCACCATACATTGTCGTTCACCAGTTGTAATTTACCTCACCGTTTGCTTTCTAGCTGTATGCGTATCAAGTAGCACAACATCAAAAAATGTAAAATGTAGTTTTTGTAAGGATCTGGTCCAGAGTTTGGACGTCAAGTGAGGATACGCTCTGCTATCTGATGAAATCGTCTAATTCCGTCGAGATGAAAAATATCTTGGACACTCTCAATAAGACATTTGGCTCTTGTACTTTCGCGTTCACTATGCTCACATCGTTTGACTGGCACTTTGATTCGAATACAATAGAAACCACAGTTCTCCTCACAGCCTTCGTGTGCAGTTGATGATTATTGCAAGAAAAGCAACTTCCCATTTGGGTCGACGTTCCAGCAGGCCATCTGATTTATTTTGAACAAAAGTAGACAACATAATCATACATTTCCAAGAGATAAGACCAATCTTGAGAAATCTCACAAGTTCAATTCTAAAGTGTATGGTTTAGCCTACTTCAACTTCGACCCACCAATTATCAGCTTCATAACCATGATTCAGAATCCTATAAGTATTTTGAGAATCTTGAACCGAAGTTACATTCGAGAGTTGATTTTGAGGTACATGGGTAAGTCCAACAACTGTTGCAGCTTGATGAATTAAATCATTCAATTCACCTTCTTTGAATAAATGATAAAATCGATTAAAAGTAACAGGTTGTGAAGTGCTAGGATCTTGTGTGACCCAAGGTACGAAAACATCTTGAATTTTATCTTTCTTTTCGTCTTCTTTATTTTCTAATCTAATCTGAGTTTCATCTTTGAGACTTTTTGCTGGTAAAAGCTTACGATTTTCAAAGCTTCGATTCGATCTTTGACCTTGTTCAAAAGCCCAAACGAAAATCAATAGTTTTCCTTTCTTATCATATCTATTTTTAGGTTTAATAAGTTGAAGTAAAGATTGAATAGATTTAGATCTTCTTTCAAAGGTTGAAAGATGATGTAAAGTTGCAATCGAAATTATAAAATCAAATGAAAAATTAGATCTGATGGGTAAACTTAGACAATCTCCATTTAATAATTCAGGATTCGATTGATGGTTTGATGAAAGTGAAAGTAATGAGATTGATCGGTCTAATCCTATTAGAAGGTATCTTGATTCTTCATTCAATAATGATTGTGGATCTTTGGCTCCGATTGGAATTTCAGAATTTGTTGATGATTGAGAATTGAATGTCAGATTATGTCCATGGAGATATTTACCTGTCAAAAACAATAAACAAGAATCAGACTTACATTCAGGACTTCAAGTTTGAATGCGAATTGGAAAAAGAATGACGCGACGTACCGTTTCCAGATCCAACATCTAAACCTATGGAGCCCATCGGCTGATTTTTGAGAAACTCGTTCACTATCGGCCATGGTTTATATCTAGTCTGTGAGAAATGATGAGCTATTGATTGATAAACTTCATGAACATGATTCTTTTCATAATCGACTGCTGAGAAGTCTTCGTCATTGGACTGAGATTCGTTTGTCATTCTTTAGGTCTTTGTTAAAGTTTTCTATAATCTTTCCTAGAAATCTGGATCGTTTTACCTCATTTTGTAGGAGGTTGAGTAAGTTGACCGTTGGACCGATATGAGTCGGAGTTCATCGAGTGTTTTGAGTTTTTGTTGGTTTCAACTTGAATTTCTCCTCAGCCGAGGAACTACATTTTCAAAAACTGCATTTTCATGTCAACTTTTCACAAAAACCATTGCTATACAAGCCTCTACACGCGCAAGGATTTCCTGACGAAAGGAAAGTTCTCAAGACCTGAACAGATGTGTACTTCATGTGAAGACTAAATGCCATCTGATCGCGAAATGCTCATGAATTGACCTTGAAATTCAGAGTTACAGCCTTTTGCCCACTAACGCGTGATGGAGGAGGATCGAGAGGAGGTCGAATTCAAGGGAGCTTCTCCCGATATTTGTCAATCACTGGCCGGAATCAATGAGTATAACACAACATACTGTACGACAAAATTATCCAACGGTATTTGAAGACAACAGGAAAGTAGAACATAAATCAGCCTGTTTCGGTAGGATTGAGAAGGATAGGCACTGATGTAGATGAATCACGATAGCATACATCTGTTGGCACACGTAGCTTGAGTTTGAGTGCTGATGGAGCTAAACAAAAGGTATGAATGGTTTCTTTGTTTTGAGGAACTCAATAAAGACAAGCTTTTTCATCATTCTCACTCTTCTGTTGTACTTCTTTGGGGGATACCAGTGTCTCTATGGGGGTAGGCCTTTCATTCTCCAATTCTCACTCTTCTGTTGTACTTCTTTGGGGGATACCAGTGTCTCTATGGGGGTAGGCCTTTCATTCTCCAGTCATACTAGTTGACTAAATCTCTCATGCAAGAAATTTTGCGAGGTAAAATGCTTATGATCTCTTCTCTTTGAATTACTTTATTAACACGTTCAGGGTTAATATATATACAAAATCATTCATCAAATGGAATCTTTCTACAAAACGGACATGAAATAATATATAAACTGGCAGCAAGATTAGTGAAGCACTCTTTCTCGCAAATCTTATGACTCTTGTGACAGGGGAATTGAACGTATCTCTGACCGTCTTCGAAGTTGGTGATGCAAATTGAACATTCTTCTCTGTCGTCTTCCTTTACGTCGGGTTGGGATCGAAATACGTGACAGTGCTCAGATGATAAACGTGAATAGATCAACAGCCCTGACCACGCGTCGGACTCGACGGCGAGTGACGGAATTCGATCAATTGCGGAAAGATTCAAGTTGCCAGTTTCGGGCATCGAGCGGAGAGAATCATAAAGAGACCTGTTTCTTCGAGATGCTAGATTTGCTAGTGCAGCAGGATTACCAACGTATAGAAAACCGTTCATCATGGCCTCCATCATTTCTGTCGAAAGGGCATCTTGTATAGCGGTAGGGATCACTCGGGTTTCGTTTGGATCTGTCGTGACTTGATCAAGTGTTTGCTGAAGGGTGGAAAGATCTTTTACGAGTTGCTTGTAAGTCTCGTCAGTTCGGTTGGGGTCTTGGTTTATTATGTCTTGGTCCATTATGTTTGTTGTGAAAGTTGAAAGATTTTGAGCGTTTGAAAAGATTTTAATTCTAGATATTCCAGATATCAATGGGAGTCGTTCACGATTGAGTCGGAATGGCTTGGTCAGTAAAACGGAATAGTTGCTAACTACATAGCTCTTTTATAGGCGTATGGACACAATGAAGGGCGGTCGCGGTTCAGCACTTCGGAAAAGCCCCTCAAGCTGATACCACCCATGATCTGCTTTCGATGGAAGGCTTCGAGTCTTCTTCTTTCTTAATTTCGCATTTGCTGCAATTCCTGACCATGGAATGCATGTTCAGCGTAAAGCGAAGTCACTCCAGAATTGTAGTTCGCCCTCATACTTTTCAAAAGGCCGGGATTCTCGTGGTGCTTATCAGTCATTCGGCTGACAACGCATAGTCGTGAAAGCTCTGTAGCAGAAAGAAATTTCAATAACTCGTCTAGGTACAATTGAAGCCTTACGTACTAAGATCAGAGGCTTTGCACAATCAACCCAAAGTCAAGTTTTCGCATTATGAAAAAGCACGTGTTCCACATTAATACGACGAGGGAAAATGCATGAAATTCTGTGATTCCTTATTTAGGCTATTACCTTTGTTCTCGACTTACGCGCTTTTCGCGCTTTTTCTTTCCTCGATGCTTTTCCTTCTTTCCTATTTTATTGTATTTTCTTTTCATCATTATCTACTTGTAGAACGGATCTTGCCAGATCCGTCCCGACCACACACTATGTTTCTTGTGGACCGAATCCTACAACACCGGATTCGGCCATCTCTCTCATTTCTCCTCTCGTATCTCGACGATCTTCGATCGTCTCTTGTTGTACCACTTTCACTCCATTTCCTTTTTCGTATTCCAGCCAAAGATGCTCGACTATATAAGATCATCGCATCTTCCCTGTAATTCAAACACTAAGTTACTTCCTGCTTACAATTCGAACCCCATCATTGTGAGTAGAATCACAAATATATATATTTTTTTTTTTTTATCTTTTCTTTTTTCCTAACCATTAAATATCATCGCTCCCAATTGATATCGAAAAAGGTTCAGTTAATCTGTGATCATTCTAACTTTGTGTTTCTCTATATCCTTTTCTTTAGATTCCCCTTATCGAAAATTATATAACCAGAAACCCTGCAACCCAACAATCCAGTTTAACACCGTCGTAAGTTTTCGTAATTCCCTAGCTAGTTATTCCGATTTCCCTCCGACACCTTCCCTTCGATTAGTTAGATCAAAAGACTAAGAACCCTCTTTCTCCTTACACACACAGAAAACAACCAAAACCGTTCAACAACAAACGCCTACTCATCGCGATTTATTACTATCAGATTTTTGAATCTTTTGTTAACAAATTACAACTACTCCTTTTTGAAGAGATTAGTAATCGTACGTTTTATTTACTTAGACTCTGATCAAGTCTTGAACCCACCCTCACGAATCATTCCTTATCTTTTTATTTTACTCGTTTTTGTCTTATCTCCCTAGATAACCACTCAAGAATGGAAGAAGCATCCCAATATGTTCAGATTCCTGCCGAAGACCTACGCATGATCCGGGCACAACTTGAACAGTTTGGTATCGACGCTCACCATCGTGATCAAAATCATGCCCAAGAAATTGGTAATCTTAGGAATCAACACGAAAACGTCTTGCACCAACAGGCAAATCAGATCAGCCACCTTGAGAACCAATTAAATGATCGAATCAATAACCCGGCTCCACCAAAACCGGATGCCTTTAGGGCCGAGCCACGAAAATTCACCGGATATGGTGATAATGCTCAATTATGGTTTTCTGAACTAGAATCTAACTTCAAAATGCACCGCTACCCAGAAGCTTCTTGGGGAGAGATGATCGGCCCGTATTTAGACGAAGAATCACTTATGTTCTGGCATGAGACTCGTAAGGCTCAAGGCGGAACTATTACAGACTATGAAGACTTCAAGGCTCATTTCTTAAATCAATAGGACTTCGACCTCATGATTGAAGAGACCTTAGAAAATATTAAGGTCTGTTACTACAAAGGCGATATCAACAATTATATCCTTCGGTTCAGAAAATTAATGGCCTATCTACCATCGGATGTCCTCTCTTTCCAAGCTCGCAAATTCTCCTTCGCCGACAAACTTCCGGCCCATTACAGAGAAAAAATCAATAACAAGACTGATATCAGAACCAAGAAAGATAGGAATTAATCTACGCTGCTGCCAGAGAAGCCAAACGTACCGTCAAGATCAATAATCGAAGTTTTAAAAACGATGATCAAAGAACTTCGACTTCTCACAGAAATTCCGACAAGAAGCCTTCTTTCAGTTTCAACCGCAACAGTTTTTGTTCCCACAGTCACTCAAGCCATTTCGGTAAACCTCACGCTGTTACCAACAGTTCGGGACCTATGGACCTAGACTCAGTAGATATGTCAAAGGTAGAATGTTATAATTGCCACGCTATGGGACATATGTCGGATAAGTGCCCTAAAGGACCAAAGAAGAAATCTTTTAACTCGAAGAATCGTCATCACAACTCTGATTGACGAAAACCTAACCTTCTTGTCTTTGAACATCTCCCTTTCCATCCTGATGTTTCCAATTCTCTTGATTCCTTTATCTCACCGTTTCAAGATTATGAGCTTCAAGAAGAAGAACCTTTCATCACCCCCTTCTCGGATGCAAATGGACAGGTCTTTCGTGCTTCTATAGAGTCATCTGAAAGCTTAGATGGCCCTACTGAAGATGGAAGAAAAGATCTAGAAGAATACAAGAAGAATTATGTAGAAACTTTACGCGACATAGAACCCGAAACTTTGCTCAACTTATCAAAAGAAAGGGAAGTGGTTGCTAGAGTCATCAGAGAAGCAAAGGATTTTCGCTGCTGTAAATCGTGTAAAGGCTATGGAAATGAGGACAGTCCTCCCACGACCTCTACAGGTATCAGTTACTTCGACTTAAGCCCTCAAGACTTCAACGATTCCCACAAGAAGAGATCTCATGTTGATAGTCTCACAGATCAAGATACTCCGAAAGACCTAATTAACGCACCTCTTGTGCACCTGAAACTCGGACCCGACCCGAGGATACTATTACATGTATCCTCGCAGCGGATCCGAAGGAAAGCGGGCAGATGCATCCTAAGATGCTAGGATGCATCTTTTGTAACCTCGTGAGGCTCTAAGTCGAACACATGCAAAGTACTTGACCATCTTTCACACTTCCTCACACATCTTACCAGCGCTTTTCACATTGTTTCACACTCCAACCCGCCTTCAACCAGTTTTCGAACAAGATAGCCTTCACACTTATTCACCCATCTATCTTCACACCTCTTCACCCATCTATCTTCACACCTCTTCACCCATCTACACGGTTTTCACATCTCATCACCAAACACTCCAAACTTCACAATACTCTCTAAAGTTACCCTTCACCACCTTTCACA